TAGCTAGCTACTCGTCACTCACCACCTACCAAATTTCTCATTCGCATCACGCTACATGCAGCAACAACTGTTCAAAATGACGTCTACAATCACCACAACACCGACGACAACGTACAACTACGTCTACACAACTTACACAAATGCGTCGCCGAGCCCCTTCACCAAACCCACAGAGTTCCCGTCCATCTTCAGCTACGGCCCTGCAGTAGGATGCGCCTCGAATTCTGCCATGCCCGACACACCCGCGCAGCCTTCCAATTACCCTCTCGGTCGACCGTCTGGCCGCGATGGCGGATGCGTCATCAGCAACGACGCGGACTTCAACGACCATGCTTTCTGGGACATGTACGCGTGCTGTTCGGGCAACGATAGCACAGCGATGGGCAGCCCGTTTCCTTGCACGGCAATGTGCTCCGCTAGCGACGAACAAAGCTTCTTGGAACTGGGAGAGTGTCTGAGCAAGAGGGTCGACGTTGTCATTTGCACTCCGCCGTTCGACGAGATTAGCCAGAATTCGACGGACCCGGATACAGCTAGTAGCAGTGATTCTATGGCGCAGTCGTCATCGGCGGGGACGATGAGCGAGCGCGAGAGCGCGACTGCGAGCTCAAGTGGCGATGCGAGCGCGAGTGCTAGCTCTTCGAATGCGGACTCGACGGGCGCTGCCAGTGCGGTGGGTGTTACACATGATGTGTTTTCAAAGGCTGGGCTGGCGGTATTCGGCATCATGGCGCTCGGCTCCGCTGCGGGTATGTTCTTGTAGGAGGGTATGGGATAGGATGATGTGTATTACAATTGAGCTGGTTTTACTTCCATGACCCCTTCCAGTACCTTAGTGTAAGTTTATCTAGTCGTAACATAATTCACGAATTGCTGTCATGCATGCCAGTGGTATGATAGTCTCATGTCAATCAAGAAAAAAACCGAACAGGCCTGCAGCCTACATCAACATAAAACCCTACAAAATAGGTGACCCGGCGTCGATGTAGGCTCTAGAAATGTTCGGGTTTTTTCTTGCATGAGGTGGTCTCATTGCATGGTTGGTGCTTTCCTGAGATGGCCCCATGCCCACAAACATCTCAGACACTACCATGCTCATGGCCATTCCATAAAGTGACACCTTCATGTTGCAATACAATGACAAAGAGAAAGACTCGAAGAGCCAACGAACACGATCTCGTGCAGATCACTCCACGATACGCAAGCAGAAAGGGACGGACTGAACATGCAAATATCAATTGACTCTCAAAAAAAGCATAGGTACAGTATTTACAACCAGTCACCTAACCCGCTACTGCCGCTTCTGACCCATCACACGGAAGACAAAGTCGTCTTCTTGAATGATCGATCTTGTCAAAACGCGCGTGTCACCCATTGGCCATGTATCCTTCATGCAACGCGACAAAAACCCATGCTGTGCAAATCGAAGCAAAATGCTGCGGCCTTTCTATTTCATTCTTCTACTGCTTACCTGTCAACTTCACCGAACACAAGATCCATGGTTCCGATAATGGCGACAGCATCGGCGAGCAAATGACCTCTTGAAATCTGGTCCATGCAGGCCAAGTGTGCGAATCCAGGTGCCCTAATCTTACACCTGTACGGTCTCTCGCTACCATCTGAGACCAAGAAGACACCCATCTCTCCCTTGGGCGCCTCAATAGCGCTGTATGTCTCACCAGGTGGTACAGTGTAGCCCTTGCTGAAGAGCAAGAAGTGGTGAATGAGAGCCTCCATGTTCTCCTTCATAGCAGCACGTGGTGGGGGCGCGATCTTGTAGTCCTCAACCTTGACTGGGCCGGCTGGCATGTCGTTCAAGCACTGGTGGATGATGCGGAGAGACTGGCGGAACTCCTCCATACGGCAGAGGTAACGGTCGTAGCAGTCACCGTTGACACCGACTGGGACATCGAAGTCAACCCTGTCGTAGGCGTCGTATGGCTGCGATTTGCGGACGTCCCAGGGAACGCCGGATCCTCGGAGCATGACACCGGAGAAAGAGTAGTTGATGGCGTCAGCAGCCGAGACAACGCCAACGCCCTTTGTGCGGCCAATCCAGATACGGTTGTCTGTCAACATCTCCTCAGTCTCGTCGATGCGGTCACCGAACTGGGTAGCCCATTGGTAGATATCGTCGAGAAGACCGAGGGGGAGATCCTGAGACACACCGCCGGGGCGGACGTAGGCTGCGTGAAGACGGGCACCAGAGACACGTTCGTAGAATTCCTAGACGTAATCAGCATGTGCAATCTATACTTTTGCCACACACAACTTACCATGAGCTTCTCACGCTCCTCGAAACCCCACAAGAAGGGCGTCAGAGCACCGACATCCATAGCGTGGGACAAGACCGACATGAGATGGTTCAGAATGCGGGTGATTTCACCGAACAAAGTACGGATGTACTTGGCGCGGATGGGGATATCGATGTTCAGCAGCTTCTCGACAGCCAGCGAAAAGCACTGCTCGTTGGTCATCATGGAGACATAGTCGAGACGGTCAAAGTATGGCAGGGCCTGGAGGTACGTCCGGTACTCGATGAGCTTCTCTGTGCCTCGGTGGAGCAGGCCAACGTGCGGGTCGGCGCGCACAATCTCCTCTCCGTTCAGCTCCAGAATCAAGCGCAACACACCGTGGGCAGCGGGATGCTGGGGCCCGAAGTTGACAGTGTAATGCCGGATCTTCCTGGTGTCCACATGTTCGTCCTCCTCCGCTCTGGTTTCCTGGGCCGTCTCGGCCGGTGCAACGCCACCGAAGTTGGAATCGGTCGGAACCAGTCGTGTCCGCTGGCTCTCCTCGACTTCAGCGTATCGGCGGGGGAATGTAGTCGACAGGCAGCGTGCAATGGGCCGTGAAGGGATTGCCGATCGGAGCTGGGGTCGGGAGGCGTTGAGGCACGCTCGCTTCGCCGCGGGGCCGGCCAGACGCGCAAAGGAGACGGGCATGGTGGTGGTATCTCTCCCTACGTCGAGTATAGGGCCTCAATGGGCGTGTAGAGTGGAGAGTGAGGGCGTGGCGTTGGAGGGGAGCTTTCCTCATATCGATGATGCTACCAGATTGAGTCTACCGCCATTGGCTGCGTGGGTCTTGGCGTGCCGGCGCCTTCCTCGAACTTTTTGTGAACATGGAAAGTGCTCCCCTCCGAAAACACCAAACTTGACCCCAACACCGCAACCATGTCGACGCCGAGTGCACAGGAGCAGATCAAGCGCAAGGTACTTACGCGACTTGGAATATGTGGTTGATTATCTGCTAATGCCACGATCAGACGCTTGGAGTTGGTCCAGAGACCGTCACCAACCAGCAGTCTACCGACTTCCCAGGACACTGGCCGGGCGAGAACCACGAATGGGACTTGGAATACTTCAAGGAGGTATGCGCGACCAGATTCACGTCAAAAATACATGACTGCGTACTGACCAAAAGTTCAGAACTTCAACGTCACCTTCCACAAATTTGTCCCCAACAACGCCGAGTTCTCCCTCACTGGTATCGACACCTCGGTTGCAAACGCCTTCCGCCGCATTCTCCTCTCCGAAATCCCTACGCTCGCCATAGAAGACGTCTTCATCTACCAAAACACATCCATCATCCAAGACGAAGTGCTCGCCCACCGCCTGGGCCTAATCCCCCTCTGCGGCGACCGCGAGGGTCTCCGCTGGCTGAAATGGTACAAGAAGCCTACAGACGATGACGAAGGCTCCGGAACACCCTCAGACTACAACACCATTGCGCTGCGATTAGACGTGGAATGCACATGGCAAGAGGGCGGTCTGCAACGAGCAGTAGCTGGAGAGACCGATCCCGATAAACTCTACGTCGGCCACAATGTCTACGCTAAAGACATTGTCTTCCAACCCCACGGCCGTCAAGAGGAGAAGTTTGCGCAAAGCGAAGGAAAAGAGATTCGGTCGACAAACCCGGATATCCTGATCGCAAAGATGAGGCCAGGGCAGAGCATTTGTCTCAGCATGCACGCTATCAAGGGTATCGGACAAGACCACGCCAAGTTCTCGCCCGTCGCAACGGCTTCGTACCGCCTTATGCCTACCATCGACATCACGAAACCCATCATCGGCGCCGACGCAAAGAAGTTCGCGCGCTGCTTCCCCCGGGGCGTCATCAAGCTCGACAAGGTCACTTCCGAGGATGCTCAGAAACACGCCGAGCTAGAAGGCAAGGAAGGCGAGCCCAAGGCTGTAGTCGAGAACGCCATGAACGACACCGTCAGCAGAGAATGCTTAAGACATCCCGAATTCAAAGACAAGGTGAAGCTGGGTCGGATACGAGACCACTTCATCTTCAAGGTAGAAAGCACTGGCCAGTGGGAGAGCGACGAGCTATTCTTGGAGAGTGTCAAGCTGCTCAAGATCAAGTGTCAGAGGATTAAGAGAGGGCTGGATGAGATGCAAAAGTAGAAAGCTCTTTAGAACAGGAGTGTGGAAGAATTTGCATTGCAATGGCGTTTTAGGGCATTACGGTGGCGGGTTTCGAAAAGTCTACGATATCACGGAGCGACTTCTTTTGCATGGATTAGTCCATCTGGCATTGTGCCTTTGAGCGGTTGTCAAAAGGCATAATAAATGATTACACCATACTTTCACATCGCATCTCGCATTAAGGGAGCAGGTTTCATGTGTATGACCTGGTACCTCAAACTCAAAACATCTTCATTGACGTTGACGACTATGCTAGAACAAGATCGAAGCACGGTCTAGAGAGAAAAACAAGCTTGCTTCTATTGATACAACTAGACATTCGTAACTGACGCGTATTTGTACAAAAATCATAGCTTTACAGAGACGAAACCGATAAGTATCAACCGGGGTATATGAGAATTTGTCCACCTGGGACACCTTGCTAAATGAACATCAAAGAAAGTCGTGTAGGATGTGTGTCTCGTTGACCGTGACAAAACGCATGGGTATGTTCGTGGATCATCCGCGTTGAATCGTTGCGACGAGAGTTGAGGAGATTTCCACGAAAGGACATGCTGACAGCTACGAGAGCTCTGCCAGCGCATCGCTACACAGCTTCTGCACGCTTTCAGGGTTGAAGCGTGGGCGCCATGTCATGTTCTTCCTCTTCTGCTGCAGCTTCTCCCGATCCTCGTCTGTCAGCATGCAGCTGCTGCGAGGATCTTTAAACTGCGACTTGGTGGGGGATGGCGAAGGAGTCGGGAATGCGAAACGCACACCACGGACACCGGTCGTCTCTTTTAGGGTCCGCACACTAGTAAGATGGCCCTCTACCATGCGGACAAAGGCGGGGGTGCCACTCGGAAGCTGGACCCCTGGTTTCGATCGCACATGGTCTGTGGATAGAGGTGATAGGATGCTGTCGTTCTTGATGTGGCGGGACAAGGGTCTAGGGTCGGCACACGAGTCCCATTCCACGTTTTTGCCGGGTGGGGATGGGAAGCGGAAATTCCTCAGCGCAAGATCTGGATCTACCTCCAGGTCGAAGGCGTAGGAATCTGTGCTTGAGGTCGAGCTGCGATAGCTGCTTGTTGAGTCAAAGGACCTGACTCTGGATGAACGCCGGAACCAGGTCTGTTCGTCTGGGATGGTCGCAGAGTCTGGTGTCAGAGGCTGGTCGTCGTCCTCCATCGGCGCAGTGGAAGATGGCGAAGGTGGTGTAAGAGCGACGATGGTCTCATTGTAGTACTTTTCCGCCGCGTTCAGTTCCTTGTAGCGGTTTTTCAGCGTCGCTTCTCTCGCTAGTGTGTCGTGAGAGAGGGCGATGTAAAAGTTCAGATAAGCGGAGTGGATGGGATGGATCTGTTGTTCGTTAGCACTTGCTTCTGACGTGTTGCACCTGCTTTGGCGACCTTCAGATCATGGAAGGTACGCGGCGTACTATTACTTTTACATACCTTGTCATTGATATCGCCGAGCAAACGCTCTCCAAAAGTTGCGCACTGTGTGTAGTGTCGACTAGCATACAGATCCTTGAGAGCCTGCATTTTCGCTTTCAACATGTAGGTTCCAGCCTGCGCCAACATATTGCTCAGGCGTTCGAAGTTGTGGATCGGTGACTGTGGGTCGAACTTGATTGAAAGACAAGCAGCGATTGAATTGTAGTTGCGAATGTGACCTTGGGCGTGAAGCAGACCGGGTAGAGGCGGAACGAAAAGAGAGAAGCGCAGCCTCAAAGAATGAAAAAAGTGAAGCCGGCTCCAGGGTTGAGGTCGTCAAGACTTGTTGAATTGGTAGCGGCGTAAGCAGTAAAGGCAATAATGCAGGTGCGCTTTCCACTTGTTGATGCTACCTAGGTATTGAGACCTCGGGATATTTGCCAGCTCCTCAGAACGACTACCGGAGCGTTGAGTGGAGAATCAAGATCAAAAGCAATGCGAACGCCCATAATGGGCCATATTATATGATGCCTGAGGGCCTGACCGTGCCTGACTAGGCCTGACGTACTATTTCTGCGGGTGAGGGTGTGGTAAGAGGGGCGAGTCCGTTTCGAATGCAGGTTACGTTTCATAAACCAGCTATCCCTACCCTTAGCGCGCCGAAGGTGGTCAGGTACGCAAACACTTGCCGTCATTGGGGTTGAAGCACGCATAAGGTTTGAAGAACCCTCGTGCAGACTGCTTGATTTGCAGTCTCATGGCTGTTGGTGTGCATAGTTGCTGCCTCACTGAGTAGTGGTGTAGTCGTCTGCCGGCGATTTTTTCCTCTGCCGTTGTCTGCGACTCATGACCTACAGCTAAGGGACAGGTCGGCATTGTAAGCCGGACATTAGCTTTGCCAATTTGCTGTTGGACCATGACGAGATATATCACACACATGCCAACTTGCAGATGATTGATCTAGATCCGAGGCCGATCGCGCTGCACTGCAGCACACATCAGCGTGGTGTTTACCCAAGCGACCGTTTCCGATCTGGCGTGGAGATCGTAGCGAGGACGGAGGATGCCGGGGCGCTCCTGAAGGTGGCTGGTGATCTTAGCCTCCATTCCTGCGACGACAATGGTGCTGCAGGAGAGCTGACACACGTGATGAGCATGACAGTACCTAGATCTACACGGTGCTGCCCAGATGTGACGTAGGCCGCAGCGTAGATGCGGTCGAGAAGCAGACATGACACAAGGCACGAGATTCAACCATGAATGTTTTCCACGAACTGGCTGGTACAAAAGAGCTATGAACAGATGGTTATTCTACACAGCCCATGAGGGAGATGGAACCAGATCATTGGGATATCAAGTCTAAAGCTCCTGGAGCGCTTAACCCTCGGAAGCAGCGGCACCGGTAATAATCTCGACAAGTTCGCCAGTAATGACGGCTTGACGCGTTCGGTTGTAGAGAATCTGGAACTTGTTGATCATGTCTCCAGCGTTCTTGGAAGCATTGTCCATGGCGTTTTGACGCGCAGACTGCTCGCAAGCGTGACCCTCAGCCAGCGCCCAGAAGAGCGAGTTGGCAAGGGCGTACTCGCGGAGGTTAGGGAGAACCTCATCCTCAATCTCGAAAGCAGAGAAGTTGGCTAGATAGATTGTCAGACATGAATTTTGCTACTTGGAGGTGTGACGTACCAGACTGGGCAATAGCCTCCTCAGAGTAGGCCTCCTGGATGGTGGCCTCGTAACTCGAAGCGTTGATGAACTTGTTGTAGACGATCTTGATGGAAGCGTATTCGGTGGGCAGCATAGAGATCTGGTCGGCAATGTGCAGGGAGTCGGCAAAGGTAGGAACGTCCTTTCCGGCACCGGCGAAGGACAGGACCATGTTCTTTCCGTTGGAACGACCAAGTTGCGCCTTGCACTTCTCGCCAATGACAGCCAACTCAATGTCGGAATTCTGTTGGAGCATAGCCCTGACCTTCCTCGACATTCCCGAGTGGATACCACCGCAGAGGCCCTTGTCGGAGCTGCAGACGATGACCAGGTTCTTCTTGCCCTCACTCTCGATGGGCTTGGTCTCGGCGCTCTCGAAAACGGTGTTGGACGTCTGGCCGTACTTGCGGGACTCGGTCATGGCCTTCTGGGCACGGGTGAGCTTGGTGGAGGCGACGACCTTCATGGTCTTGGTGATCTTCTCGATGTTGCGAATCGACTTGAGGCGGCCCTCGATTTCACGGAGGGTGGCATAGCCGGCAGCGTTGGAGACGGAGAGGGTGGCGGGCCTAGATACACAAGTTCCAGTCAGCGATTGATGCAGTGGGCGATGCAATGGCTCCGGCAATGGGGGGTCGCAGAGCGCGAGAAAAGCTGCGGGCTGAGGTGGGAGCGTACCGGGCGGCGGCGGCGGCCATGCCCGCCTTGAAGGCCGGGCGCGCAGCTCGTGACAGCATCATGGCTACGGATTGAGATGAGTGGAGATGGCGACAGCCGGTGGTGGTGCTTCACTGCTGTCTTTGCTGAGCGGAAGCTCTCATCGGGCAGTCGGGACACTGAATTGCTTTCCGCGCTAACACGCCAAGTGTCACGTGAGAGATTCCAGCAGAGGACACCGGATGCGGAGCCTCTCACCGGCGCCGCCACGCTCGTGGCAGTCTGCGTGCAGTGTAGAGTGTGTCTTTGAACCATGCTGAAGTCCGAGGAGTCTGAAAATGGCCCCAAAGACGACATCGTCGTGACAACATTAGGAGGACATAGGCACGAACAATGGAGGAACAGGTGGCAGGCACCAACTAGGCACCCACCAAAGCCTTGACGCACCGTTCCGCATGTTCCGTATTGTAGGAAAAGCAAGCAGCTTGCACAATGGCTGTGTTCGCTGGTAGCCGATTTGCAGCGTCCTAGTGCATCGATCGATGGTGAGGTTACGCATCTGCTGCAAAGGCCGAACGCCCGTGCGCTGGTGGACTTAGTGAAGCACAGCTGGGCAATGGCTCCCTGGCTGCGCTTCACTTAACTCAGCATCCTCTGTCCGCCCTCGTCTATTCCCTTCGTCCCTGCTGCCTCAAACTTCAACATCGCCTCAATCGCACGACGTGTTTGCCCGCAAGCGGCGCGCGTCTCTCCACAACTCTCACCCTTCCACGGGCTCCGCTCTTTCATTCCCACTAGGTTTCCTCGATCTGCGCCAGATCTCGCTGAGCACGCCCGTCCTGTTTTTTATTATCCGCAATCCCGGCGCGCGCCTGTCTCTCCCATCATGTCCTCTTCAGACGACGACACTCCCCTTGTGAGAGGAAAGAACCAAGGTGAGTGCGCCCGGCAATCTGCGCTATCTCCACGCGCCACGGCTATCTCCCTCTCACGCGCCCCGATCGCCCTTGTCAAATTCCACCCTCTCACCTCCCAACTATTACCAACCTCCTCCCTCGCTACCTTACCCAACGTAGCGCAACCAGTGCGCCTCCACTAAAGACGCAAAATGGCTAACGAAACTTTTCCAACAGCAAAGTCCAAAGAACAGATCACCAAAGAAGAAGACAGAAAAATGGACGCCCAAGTCCCTTCCAACGGTCACGTCGAGCCAGGCATCTCAATCCGCATGGGTCCCGTCGCCGATGACGACAAGATGGATATCGATGCGCCCGAGACCAACGGCGCCAACGGAAAGCGCAAGTCGCGCAGCAGCGTCACAAACAGCAAATCGTACAAGGACGCCAGTAGCTCCGAGGATGACGACAAGCCTTTGGTAGGTCGCCCTTGATGAAATTCACGCGCGTTAAGCTGGACTAACTTTTCAGCAGAGTAAACGGCGGCGGACCTCACAGCAAGCAAAACCCACCCAGGACGACTCCGAGTCAGAACTCAGCGATGTGCCTCTCAAGGCCAGGGTGCTCCCCAAAGCAAGCGCCGAACAAATCGGAGAGTCTGCCGACTCCGACGTGCCTCTCGCAACGAAGCTCACTAAGAAGAAGGAGTCCATCGAGAAGGCCGCTGCAAAGGAGGCCAAGGCCATGCGCAGCAAAGAGAAGGCTGCCCCGAAGCGCAAGCAGAAGGTAGAAAGCGACAGCGACGACGACATTCCTCTTGCGAAGAAGAAGGCGCCGGCCAAGAAGACAAACGGAGTCAAGAAGGAAGAGTCCGATTCTGACGCGCCGCTCGCCAAAAAGGCTGCCCCGAAGAAAGCCACCAAAGCGAAGCCTGCCGCCGCCGCGCCTGTCAAGAAGGGCAAGGGCAAAGTCAAGAAAGAGGAGACTGAGCAGGACGAGGAGGCTGAGAACGAGGAGGAAGAGTACCGCTGGTGGGAGGACCCAGGCAAGAGTGATGGCACCAAGAAGTGGGACACACTGGAACACGCCGGTGTTGTCTTTCCTCCCGAGTACGAGCCGCTTCCCAAACACGTCAAACTGGTATACGATGGTGTACCTGTTACCCTGCACAAGGACGCCGAGGAGGTAGCTACTTTCTACGGAAGCATGCTGAACTCCACCCACAACGTCGAGAACCCTACCTTCAACAAAAACTTCTTCGAGGACTTTACTAAGGTTCTGGATAAGACTGGACACGGCAAAGACAAAGATGGAAACACAGTCAAGATCAAGAAGTTTGAGAAGTGTGATTTCAAGCCCATCTTCGAATGGTTCGACGCGGAGCGCGCTAAGAAGAAGGCTCTCTCGCAAGCCGAGAAGAAAGCGCTCAAGGCTGAGAAGGAGGCTGCTGAGGCTCAGTACATGTACTGCCTGTGGGATGGTCGCAAGCAAAAGGTCGGCAACTTCCGCGTTGAACCCCCCGGTCTTTTCCGTGGTCGTGGTGAGCATCCCAAGACCGGTCGTGTAAAGGAGCGCGTTATGCCCGAGCAAATCACCATCAACATTGGCGAGAATGCCAAAGTCCCTGAGCCACCCGCGGGTCACAAATGGAAGGCGGTCAAGCACGATCACGAAGGCACATGGCTGGCTATGTGGCAAGAAAACATCAACAGTGCTTATAAGTACGTCATGCTCGCTGCCAACTCCGACATCAAGGGCCAGAGCGATTTCAAGAAGTTCGAGAAGGCGCGAGAACTCAAGAAGCACATCGACCGCATCCGCAAAGACTACCGCAAAGATCTCAATTCCAAGATGATGGCTGATCGTCAACGTGCTACCGCCATCTAC